AGTCTTCACCCTCAAAACTTATTATAAACTATATTCGTGGTAAAACCTACCTTCCAGAGTATAGTTTGTAATAATAACATGCAAATTTATGAAATATTTTACTAAGATTTTTCATTATATAATTATAAGTAAACTTGTTCTCTAGATATTAAAGAATATATATACAAATATTTATATTATTTGAATAATTATTTATAATCTAAAAACTAATTACCACTCTTTTGCATACCGCTGTACATTTTTTATTTTTTATTATTTATTCTTTATATAAAAATAATAATTTGTTATTTATTACTTATATAAATTCTAATTTGAATTTGAATTCTATTATAATATTATTATTGAAATTTTTTATGTATCTTTTATATTATTATATCTGATTATTCATATTATAATAAATGTTTTTTTCATTTTCATTATATTTCTAAACAGCTCATTAAAAGCTTATGTAGTTTGCGGTATCGGTATTGCCTTTTCTACAGTAGAAAATCCCAGTTTAGTCAATCGTCACAGGTTCGTCGTCTAACGAATGGTTTCGTCACGTCATTCGTCATCACGAAAATAGTTTTGTCAGGTATCATTAGTATATACTAATATTTGTTCGCTTGCTTGACGAGGATTATTATGTTCACAAATTTTTGAAGTTGATGAAAACGCTCGACCTTTGTTATCTTCTGGTTTTCTGTGTTCTCCCAGTTTCGGTCTTTAACTATTAAATAAATGCGAACGTTGATTTGTCATTTCCTTTTTGAGAAGACGGTCATAATTTAAATTTGTCTAAATTTTTTATTTTTTAAAAACTGACCACCATTGCTTTCTGTGCAGACTGTAGAATAAATTTTTGAAGTTTAAAGCTACCCGTATATTTGATTATTTCGACATGTCCTCATTAGGACACTTACGATCTTTGAAATCTAGTTCTGTCAAATATCGAATTTATATTAAACATTGAAATATCATCGTTATCAATGAGAAAAAATCTATTATTGTCAATATCAATATCAACCTCCGCGAGCCATTTGCTAATAAAAACGAATATTTTAACTAACTAATTACTGTTCATAGCGGTAGCCGTATTTAGATATAATTTCTATATAATCCATTCAATGTATGTTCCAATTCTTTTAATGTCTATTGATATCTTCTTCGCAATAAAAAAATCAATATAAATTCTTTCATGATATTTTTCCACATAAAGCCCACATCTAATAAGAACATGATCAGGATATAAAAAACTTAATTTATGGAAAAATTTTATGAAAAATTGTTCTTATAAGTAATTTGTTTTATTAGTGTTTTAATAGAGAGGTGCAATTGTAATTCTCGGAATAAGTAATCCGGAGAGTTGTAACGGCAAATCTTCAGATAAGAATAAATCTTAAGAAGCTGTAAAATCAAATCTAAGGAATCTGAAGTTGATACATGCGTTCTAGATCCCAATGATAATAAACTTTAAAAAAGCTAAATTTCATACATTTTATTTATGTATTACGATTTTATTTTTACGCTTTTTTTGATTTTTTTATTAGTTATTGAATAATAAGAGAAATATAAAGTGAATAAAACGAAACAACTTCTGGTTCATACTACTACATGTATAATTTTTCTAAATGAAAGACGTTCAGTATTACGTATGTACCGTGAACCATTAATTTTAAGGACCATCTACATTTTTAGATTTCTAAATTTAGTTAATGGTTACTTGACTTGAAAAAAAACCCGTTTTAAATTAGAACTATTTGGTACTATACATGTATAAACACGTATTGAACTTGGAGTATGAAAAAAAATCATTCATCAGATATAGCGATAATGTTGCAAAGTTTTAAGACTTTATGCTTAAGATAAAGTTTATAATTTACAACATAAAAAAGATAAATAATAAAAAAATTTCGAATTTTAGGTTTAAGTAATTTTAGCAAGATGCGAATAAGTTTTGTAGAAAATGGGAGAATAACTAGAAGAATAATGAAAAATGTTTACCAGTTAAGAAACATGAAATAACAAAAAAAAATAAATATTTATTATTTTCAAATTAATTAAATAATAGTAAAAAATTAATTAGAAAGGGTAAATTGCTCGAGAGCCATAAAATATTATTTAAGGATTTGAGATGCCTTCCTGTATCGCGCATAATTTGTTGCCGACTCAGAAGCAACATCATGAATGGAGACTGAAGTTAGTTCATGATCGACAGTTGAATTGGAACCAACACCACCATGAATAGGAACTGAACTGGATCATAATTTATAACCATACCAACACCATGGGAGCCAAAGTTGGTACATAATTAATAGCCAAATCGTAACTAACACCATGAATTGGAACTGAAGTTTGCTCATAATTTAAACCGAGTCGAAACCAATATCATGAATTGGAATTGGCGTTCGTTCGTAATTAATCGCTGAATCGGAACCAACTGGAACTGAAGTTGGTTCATAAATTGTAGCCAGGCCGTAACCAACACCATAAAGGAGAACCGAAGTTGGTGCACAATTAATAGTCGAGTCGTAACTAACACCATGATTGGGAGCCGAAATTGGTGCATAATTTTTAGGTGAGTCAGGATTAACACCGCTAATGGGAACTGGTGTTCGTTCGTAATTAATAGCTGAGTCGGAAGCAGAATTATCAATTGGAAATGAAGCTAGTTCATAATTCGCAGCCAGGCCGTAACCAGCACCATAAAAGGGCGCCAAAGTTGGTACATAATTAATCGCCATGTCATATCCAACACCATAATTTTGAACTGAAGCTTGTTCATAATCAATAGCCGAGTTGGAACAAAGATTATCAATTGGAACTAAAATTGGTTCATCTTTTGTAGCCAGACCGTGACCAGCATCGTGAAGGGGAATTGATGTTCGTTCGTAATAAATAGAACCAAATTTATTAATTGGAAATGAAATTGGTTCATAAGTCGTAGCCAGGCTGTAACCAGCATCATAAAAGAGAGCCAAAATTGGTACATAATTAATTGCCGAGTCGTAACGAACATCATAACTGAGAGCTGAAGCCGATTCAGAGTCAATACCAGATTTAATCATTCGTTTTCTATTGTACACATTAATTGACATTTTCTTTTTGTATTTTTTTATAACTGGCGGAAAAATACGTGACAATTTGTTTTTATGGTGTTTGTTTAAATATGAGCTGAGTTGCGATATGTAAATAAGCTCCTGATTAGCTTTTAAATAAGATAATGGGCACGTATGTTTCATACAACGTAATTTTCCTGAGACCGCTCTTGATAAACAACTTCTCCATAATAAAAAATGGTTTGCTGGTTTTTTGTACGTGTGGATATTAAGATTTTTATTGATTGATTTATTTATGGTAAATTCGTGCTTGCAATCTGGGTATTCAAAAGTTATGTTTATTGTATTATCGTTATTACCAATAGTGAGTGATGAAGCCATTGGCATATCAAAATTTGTTTTATATGGTATAGAATCATTCATCTTGAATAATTAAACAAAGGGAAATGAAATAAAATACTATGGAAGTTCTTTCTTGTGATAAGAAGAATAAATCCTTAGTTTTATACTTATTCATCATTATGACATCCAAAGAATATAAAAAATGTCCTTTAAAACGAGACATACAGTATTTACATTCGATAAAAGCGCGTGCATTTTACATTACATTTATTACATGTACATGAACTAAGCCCGCATGTATAGCGAAAATCTTTCCAATTATAGCGAAAATCTTAGAGCGAACTATAAAAAATGCCTAAAACGAGACAGTTCGACAAAAATTTGTGCATTTTACCTTTTACATGTAGAAATGCATGTAGCTCGATGAAGGATGGTTACTCCAAAAAACAAAATTAATCAACAAAAAACATGATACACGGAAGAATATCGATCTTATACAGTATACAATTTATTGACACGCAAATTCTATTTTTATTTTTATTTATTTATGCAGAGATCTAGTGAGCAAAAATAAATTAATAATTATATCGTTAATAAAAAATTCAATAAAATGAGAACATTGCATTTGTGTAAACCACATATTTCTCTCGTATAGTGAGCTCTCGATATAGCAAAGTTGGTATTTCTATATTTGCTTATAGTTTTAGCAGTTAATTTAGAGATAATACTTTTTTTAAAGTATTTTAATATTAAAAATATCATAATTTACTATATAAATTATTCAGAAACTATTATATTTATCAAAAAATTTAATTAATAAAAAAAGAAAGAAAAAAATTTTTTCTAAATAAAAAGTCTAACTATTAACCAAATAAATATTTTATAAATATTTAATTACCTAAAGAAAACTATTTACAATTTTAATTTTATTCTTTCTTGAATTAAGAATTATTTTTTATATATTTTTTATTAGAACTTTTATTAATTAACTAAGAAAACATTAATTTGAATTTATATTATATTATATAATTTAATATATTATTAATAGAAAGATTATGACAAAAAAATATGATAATTAATATAATAAAAAAGTAAATAAAAAATTATACTTTTTCTTATATGTAGTTCTTGACAGAAAAATTTATCTGCCAATTTTTTTATATTTTTAAAACATTATTATTATATAAAACTCATATTTAATAATAATAAAGTTTTATATAATTATATTAATTAATTTTTATTAATAAAGTCTTATTAATTTAATAAATTTTTATATAATTTTTAATTCAAAATTAAGTTTTCATTGAATTAGAGTTAGAATTAGAATTAAATTTTTATTAATTAAAAGTTCTATTCTAATAGTAAAAATTTCATGTTCAAAATTTATATTAGAATCTTTTGTAAATTTTATGTTAAAATTCTGTTAATTTTGAATATTATATAATAAAAGAGCATTATTAGACAAATTTATTTAACTTATAGATCAAGAGATATATTAAAAAGAATTATATTAAAAAATATATATAGTCAATATGAAAAGTAATGATGATCATATTTTTTTATCAAAATTCATTGATATCTTAACAAGAAATTACTTAAATATCATAAATATTTGGTATTATATTTTTTAGAATGATGAAAATAAAATTTTCTAAGATTACAAACATGTTAATATAATAATATTTTGTAAAATTACATGCTAAAGATGGCAGGCCAGGGAGCTATTCTGGTTAAGAAGCTGTAAAAAAAATTATTTAAAAATATTTTTTATAAGCAAATATAAAAATAATTTTATAAAAATATATTTAAAAGATATTTGTAATTTAAAAAAAATTTTAGTTAATATTTATTGAATAAATATCTGTTAAAAAAAGATTTAATTTTGATAAATTTCATAATAAAATATAGTAAAATATAATAAAAATATTATTTTTATTATATTTTATTAAAATTAAGCCTTTTTTAACTGGTATTTATTTAATTAAAATTTTTTTTAAATTATAAATATATCTTTAAATATATTTCTATAAATTATTTTTATACTTATAAAAAATATTTTTAAATAATTTTTTATAGCTTCTTAATCAGAATAACCCTCCAGTCAGCTATCTTTAATATGTAATTTCACTATATTAATATGCTTTATAACTAAAAATATCATCTTAATTAATTATAATTTATAATAGTCAATTAGAAAATTGCAATAATTATGATAATTAATCAGAGAATTATAATCAAGTTGCAATGTTATCTTTATTTATAATCTTAAAAAATATTATTTCTATCAGTCTAAAAAATATAATGCCAAATTTTTATAAATTTTTAGTAATTTTTTATTAAAATATAAATAAAAATATAATTATTATTACTTTTTATATTAACTGTAATAAATTATATAAAAAATATATTAAAAATATATAGTAATATATATTAAAAAATATTATAATAATAATAATATATAATAAATTAAATATTATAATAAATTAATTATATAGATCTTAATTAATAATTTATTAATTTAAATTAATTTAAAAGTTTAAAATAAATTTATAGAATTTGTTATAAAGAATAAAATTATTCAGTTTTTAAATTAGTATTTAAATAAAAATTTTATATTTTTAAAAATATTTAATTTTAATTATATAAAAATACTAATTAATATTATTTAATATTATAATATAAAATATCTTATAACTTTTTTATTTTTTAAAATTTTAAATAATATTTATTAATATTTTAGTTATTATTATAAATTATTAAATTTAATAAAAAGCTTATAATATTTATATTATTTTTAAATTTTTTTTTATTCTGAATTTTAAATAAATATAGATTAATAAATAGAATATTTAAATAAATATACTAGAAAAATAAAAATTATTATAAGTTCAGAACAAATTATTTTATATTAATTATTTATATTAATAATAATTAATCAAATAAATATATAATATATATAGTAATGACCAAAAGTAATGACTCAGTGACTAAATTTACTAATAAAACATAGTAAAAGTTGAAATTTTCTCTCTATATTAAAATTTATAATTTTGTAAGATTATTTTGTTAATAGTTGTAAATAAGATAAAATGCGATATGAATAAGTTTTAATTTTATAACTTATGATTAT